TGGTGTCGCAAAATGAAGAGAGGCAAGATGTGAGGAGCAGGATCAGAGGGCTGCAGCTCACTCAGGCAAACAGCAGCCTCATGATAACAACTCTAGTATTTACTGAAGCTATTCAGAGCATCAGACGAAAAGCATGTTTTTAGCATTTTATCTTATATCTGAAGTTATATAGTATTTTGGCCAGCTGTGTTCACAAAAACAACTTTGTTTCTTACTTTTTCCTTCCAACCCCTTAAAAACAATTTTTACTTTGTCTACATCCTCTTTGGAGATTAACAAGGGACAAACAAGAATTGCTTGCACTTCTTGTCCTGAAATGACCGGCCTGCCAGCCACACAGATGGAACTGCTTGTACTTCTTGTCCTGAGACAACCAGCTTGCCAGTCACACAGATGTCCCTACGTTTCTTCCAAGATGGAAGTTCTTATGTTGAGTTCCACTAGAGCCTCATACGTGCTAGGCAGGCTCTAAACACTGAACAGAACCTCAGGCCTCTGTATTTCTGGTTTTTTGTTTTGTTTTGTTTTCTCAGGAGTGGAGATTTAACCCAGAGCCTTTATGCTGAGCTGCAGCCCCAGTTTTTTCTTTTCAATTTTTTAAAAATTTCTCACTAAGTTGCCCAGGTGGTGCTGGAACTTGGGATCCTCTCTCCTCAGGCTCCAGCACACCTGGCTAAATTTCTTATTTTAGTATATCCGTATTTCATAGAGAATTCCCCAAACATAGGTTTTCCCAATTTAATGGAAATAAAACACAGAATTTTAAGAACTCTGTATTGAGTTTAGTTACAACTTTATGCTTTATGCAAACTCTACTGAGAATTACTTTCTAAAGCTAGTTATCCATTCTTTTGATTACTCTGTAGGCAATGTGTGTGTACATGTGTTCTGTGTACATTTGTTAAGATTATTTTGCCAAATCTTTCACTAGTTAATGAGGTTATCTTGTATGTGCTATGTCAGAGAATCAGTTTCACTATTCCTTGCACTAAAAAAGCCTACAGATAAAATAGGCTCTACTAGTCATATTCCCTTTTATTCCTGGATGGTCAGAAATAATCAATTTTTTCTTTCCTGAGTATGACTAATCAAATTAACAGTTTAAAAACTCAGGGCCGGGGATTCAGTGGTGCTACTGCCTGCCTCACAAGTGCAAGTTCTGAGTTTGATCCGGTAACACCAAAAAAACAAAGAACACCTAATTAGCCAGACTCAGTGACGCACATCCATAATCCCAGCTCCTTCAGTAGCTGAGGCAAGAGCAGAACAAGTGTGAGATCAGCCTGGGCAATTTAAGGAGATTTCTGTCTCAAAATAAATGAAAAAGGCAAAAGGCAAAAAGAGACTTGCCCGGAGAGTGTGAGTAAAACAAATGAAAGACCTCATCCATTTTGTGGAGGCTGAGAACATGGTTAAGTGAGGAAGCTTTGGAACAGAAACTGAAGGGAATGGGAAAGTGGAGAAGACTCAATAGGCTGTTTCCAAGGCTGGAAACAGGAAACTGTGTTGGTCAGCGTGGTATTCAGTGTCCTGGGTGAAGCCGACCAAAACAATGGTAGAATACTCTGTGGGAATCATGAGTATTGGCTGTAAGTATTGCTAACTTTAGTAACTCCATATTTGTTAAATTTCTCCAGTTTAGAAGGTGGTGTATTTCCTTTGTGGAATTCCTGAAAGTTGCAGTTTCTTGTCTCTGACCTTCAGAGGTGTGGTTGTCTGGTTTACTACTACCCATTGTGGTTGTTTTTGTTGAGCCTGTTTGCTCTTTCCTGTGTGAACTTTCATTTACTATGGTAACCCCATCCCATAATAGTTTGTGGGTTTTTTTTTTTTTTTTTTTTTTTTTTTTTTTTTTTTTTTTTTTAAAGGCCGGTGCTTGCCGGCAATAAACGCCACTTTGATCAGACTCTTGTCTTGGCGTCCTTCCTTTCTCTCTGCCCCATCTCCACCCCGCTGCTCTTTCAGGTTTGAGGCACTGCTGGACAGTGCTCTGCGTCGCCGGCTCGCGACAATACTCGCCTAGCACGAATAAGGCCCTGGGTTCAACCCAGTATGGTCAAGACAAATACAAAAAAGTTGGATAAAAATTATTTGTTGAGGTATTTGCCACTGACATGCTAGACTAGAAGGTTGTTTGCATCATTGAAATCCCTGTTACTGTGTTTTTAATATATGAGCTGGTTTTTTTTCTAAACAAAAACTTCAGTATTCAAGTTTAATTGCAGTGCTGGCCCTTGAGAAAAGTGGATTTGGGCTGCAGTTTGTGTACTTGGTCTCTGAAAAGTTCACCATCACTGCTCTAAGCCTAAGCCTTTATCAAGTGTGTGCACACAGGGGGGGCTAAATTTGCCTTAAGTCTTAGAAAAGACCTTTTTCGGGTACCGGGAATGGAACTCAGGACCTTGTGCTTGCGAGGTAGGTGGAACAACAACTGAGCTAAATCCCTTGCCCTAGAAGAGACTTTTGACAGATTTTTCAGAAATGCTGAAACTGTTAAGGACTCTGGCAACACTTGGAGATTGACCAAATCTATTTGCATAAAGGGATGTGTAGTCTTTTGGGGGGCCAGGGGGAGAATGTTATCTAAAATGTCCGCCAAAGATTCATGTACTTATAGGCGAGGCTTTTGAAAAGTGAATGGATTAAGGGGGCTTATGGCTGACTTCAGATGGAGTCTGGCTGGAAGAGGCAGGTGACTGGGGGTCTGGCTTGGATGGGTTTACCTCTCTCACCAGCTCCTCCCCAGACTCTCTGCTCCCCCCCAGAGATGAACAGCTTTCTTCCACCACGCCCCCCGCCATGTCATTGCCTTGGAGCCAGCCAACTGCCAACTAAAAACATGAGCCAAAATAAACTTTTCCTCCTTTAAATTGTAGGTGTTGATGGGCCGGGGATTTAGCTGTGTGGTTTTGCTCCCTGCCTCTCAAGTGCAAGGACCTGAGTTCAATCCCAGGTACAAAAAAAAAAAAAATTGTAGGTGTTGGGTATTGTGTCACAGTGACAAGAAAGTGAAGACAGTATAAGACTTTATGGAGGACTTGGGAGCAGTGTTTGATTACATCATAGAAACATAAAGAATACATTAGCTAGGGCTGGGGATTTGGCTCAGTGGTTCTGCCACCTGCCTCACAAGCACAAGGACCCGAGGAGTTCAATCACAGGTACCAAAAAAAAAAAAAAAAATTAGCTAAACGTATCTATTCAATACTTTTAGTTCTTCAAATTTTTAAGTATTCTTCAAGTACCTCCTATTTTTTCTTTGTTTCTTTCTTTTTGGTACCAGGGATTGAACTCAGGACCTCAAGCTTGCGAGGAAGGCATGGTTCCAACTGAACTTAAATCCCTAGTCCTCCTGTTTTCTTACACACATTCCTTGTTTAACGACTGAGTTATGGTGCTGTGACGGCCATTAAGTGAACTGGTCGGTAAATGAGAAACTGATACAGTATGTACATGACAATATTCAGAACAAAGAAATGGTCAAAGGAAAATTAACTTGACTTTGCTTTTATTTCCATAACTCTTACATGCAGTACTGTAACACAGAACATAAAATTACAGTACCATACAGTACAATCAGCAAAGATTACTATATAAACAAGGTGTACTGTACAAAAAAAAAGAAATTGAGGCTCTATAAACAAGATGTACAGAACTGTACAAAAACAAAAGGGCCGGGGATTTAGCTCAGCGGTTCGGTGGCCTGTCTTGCAAGCGCAAGGACCCGAGTTCAATCCCCAGTACCAAAACGAACAAACAAACAAAAAATGTAGGCAAAGCCCAGCAGGGGGTCATGTCCGAACAGCAGTTAAACGGGTCATCAACCGCCATACTCATCTCTCAAATCGTGGGGGGGGTGCTGGTGTACACGTGCTAAGCACGTGCTCCACGTCCTTTTTTCTTTTTGGGGTCGGGCTCGAACTCCGGCCACTGCGCTTGCGAGGCAGGCGGCGGCACCGCTGAGCCAGATCCCCTGCCCCACTCCACGTCCTGCTCAGCCCCCTGCGCGCCCTCGGCCAGTCTTCGCCGTCGCCCGGCAGGACGTACGCTGAGGTGTCCCTGGTGTACACGTGCTAAGCACGTGCTCCACGTCCTTTTTTCTTTTTGGGGTCGGGCTCGAACTCCGGCCACTGCGCTTGCGAGGCAGGCGGCGGCACCGCTGAGCCAGATCCCCTGCCCCACTCCACGTCCTGCTCAGCCCCCTGCGCGCCCTCGGCCAGTCTTCGCCGTCGCCCGGCAGGACGTACGCTGAGGTGTCCCCATTCCCGCCCGGCCGGGCCGCTCCCACATCCTCAGGGGACCGGCGTGCTGCCTTTCACGCTAAACAAGCAACAAGACTAAATCGAGCCCATCCTCGGTACCTTTTTCCTCTAAAGAAGTGAGCTAGAGAGTTCGACGAGCGCCTCCACCCCACAGCAGCATTGTCGCTCAGAGGCGACAGCCCGCGAGCTTCCCTCACACCCTGGCCGCACTCGCTCCTTCCCCGGAAACAGAAAAAGGAAAGGAAGGCCGGAACCTAGCATTCAGGGATTCGTTTTCCTCGGGTTTCCGGATGGGTAAACCCACTGGCCTCCGCTGACTGGTTAGTAGAACCGTCGCTCTCGACCAGCTCTGCTTTCTATTGGCTACTTTGGGCACCGCCCCCGAGCAGGGCGGGAGATTCGGTGTGCCCCCCGCAGGTTTCCCTCTCCCGCCGCCCTGGTTGGGCTCGCTCCCTCCATCAACTGCCGGGTGGATGAGGACTCGGCCGGTCTCTCTGCGGCAAGGCCGCCTTCCCTACCGCCACGGTTCAGCAGGGCAGCGTGAGTCTGTCCTGAGGCGGCCGAAG